TTCACCAGAAGCTATACGACGCCATTTACACATCTGCCCTGGATGTGTTGGACGAAGCCGAGCGTATCGGGCTAAGCAGAGAAGAAGCATGCAATAACTTGCTATTCGTTCTGGGATTTAACACTTATGGTGGTGTCAAAATCGTAATTCCCAGTATGATGAAGTGGGTGGGATTAGCTGGGGAGGGTCTACATAAAGAACTTGCAGACGAGATAAGAAGTGCGGTGAAGGCAGAAGGTGGGGTGACATTAGGAGCTTTGGATAAGATGCCATTGATGAAGTCAGTGGTATGGGAAGTACTGAGGATTGACCCACCAGTTCAGTTTCAGTACGGCAAGGCAAAGGAGGATGTGGTGGTGCGGAGTCACGACGCGGCATTTCAGATAAAGAAAGGTGAGATGGTGTTTGGATATCAGCCGTTGGTTACAAAAGATCCAAGGGTGTTCAAGAATCCGGAGGAGTTTGTGGGGCATAGGTTCGTCGGGGAAGGAGAAAAGCTGTTGAAGTACGTGTATTGGTCAAACGGGAGGGAGACAGAAGGGGCCACGGAGGAGAACAAGCAGTGCGCGGGGAAGGATTTAGTGGTGCTGATGCTTAGGGTAACCTTGGTGGAACTGTTCCTACGCTATGACACGTTTACGGTAAAACTTGGGAAGCCCTTGCTTGGTCCCACAGTGACCATCACCTCCTTGACGAAGGCCACTTCCTACTAATGAACGTTCTGTATTTCAATATTGGAGCTTGCGAGTTTTATTCAATAAATTTGAGAATTTCGTGGAACCTAATGCACAGTTAGTAAGACTGGTGCACAGAATAAAGGTGCTTCTTTTCAGCCCAAAAAAAATAAGGTTGCTTCTTTCAGTATACTCATGTTATAACTAGGTCAGACTCCTCTCTAATACTCATCCTATACTAAATTATTTATAGAAAAATGTTAAATTGTTGGAAAAAGAGAAATTTTAAACTAAAACCTAGGCTTTGGATGAACATGGAGAGGCCCACTCTAAAATTAGTAATTCAGTAGTTAAGCTAATGTTTTAAGCAAAATTAATTAGGCTATGAGGCTATAATCCTTAAACTTGGTCTTGGTGGGGTGCGCCAGGCCCTTGCTGTAGTGTAACGCACGGGCGACGCGGAAGGATCCCGGTAGCAAGCTACCGTGGTGGACCCTTTCCCTGCAAAAATAAATTTAATATCATGTGGGCCGATGGCCCACGTATCAGATATTAAACTGATAAGAACAGATACTACACTTGATCTTAGCCAAAAGGCCGAGAAAGGTATGAGTTGAAATGTGCCTCCGTCCGGCTTTTATAATTACCCTCAGCTCTTCGCTTCTTTGCCTGCCCCATGTGGGACTCCTCACTCCTTCGCAGTTGCAGCTCTGCAGTAAAACCCTCTCTTGTATTATGCATCCCATTTTTTGGTATCGGGCTTCTTCCTTTTGTTGTATCTTCGATTACGCATCTATATCTCTATTCTCTATATCGCATCGCAACTTGTCCATGTAGATGCTGGTTATTTTTATTCAAAGCTTTGATTTTTCTTTCTCTGTTTTTTTTGGGGGGGGGGGGTGTGGGGAAATTGAGCATTTGACATTCCCATATAGGACCATGGAGCATACATAATTCCCCCCATACATATCAGAGAGATCTTGCAGTTGTTATGTCAGGTTATGGTTCATTCCTTTGTTCAATGCCGCTGGGCGCAACGCAAGGATTATTTTATATTATTGTGTCATTTCTAGATTGTATTGGCTGCATTTGTTTGCATTTACTGTTGTAAATAACTTTTTTCTTACACTGTTTCCTTATATAAACAACAATAAAGAGATTTCCCTCCCTTGCTTAATTTATGTACGTATGTGTATGGTTTTTTCTTCGCAGCATTTTCTTCTCTGCTCTTCTGTGCTTCTTTTGGTTAAGGAACTTTGGAAATTTGACCTCGCCAAGCCTATATATATATATATATATATATGTATGTATGTATGTTATTTTTAAGATCTTGTCACAAACACATGATTATTTTGCTGAACATGTACTATGCCTGCTGCCTCGCTCCTACTACGCTGGAACAAGTTAAAGCCAACTGAACATATATATATGTTTCAAGAAGTTTTTCTTTCTGTTCTGCTACCCATTCCCCTCCCTGCCTGTGCTTCATTTAATTTATTCTAGTAAGCTTGTTTTCTAGCTGACCTGGAGACGACTTGCAAGTTGACAACGGAGATGGTTTTATTTAATTGAATTGACAAGCTCTTTTGCTTTGTCAATATTACCAATCTCCATTGGATCATCTCTTCTCATTATTTTTTTTTTTAACTACTCACGAACCGTATAGTTTTATTAATCAAACATACATAGCAACTAATTAAATGCTCATAAGAACGACGCAAACAAAACGCAGAGTGGCAACAAGATTATCTGCATATGTTACGGCTATTATGAGATCCTCCGTACATTCTCTTTTTTTTCCCCCTTCTTATGAGATCCGACTCGCGTACTTGGTAGGAATTAGGAAGAGGGAAAAAGGGTTGGCATGAAATACTAAAATAATACCACCTCCAGTCCTATTTATAAGACCTCGTGTGTAGACTATAAATGAGATTTTATAATTAAAATCGGAAGTAGTACACTTAAATGAACGAACATATATATATATATATATATATATTGCAGTCATCGATGATCCTAGCTACTACGTGGGGCGGGGGCAAGAATGATTATAGAAAGGAAAATCATGTGACAATCACAACTCCATATAATAATCACATGCAAAGCAACTTCTATTTTATTGATCAGACTCGTACATATATATAAGAGCCTTTTGCTTGTTAATATTTGTGTAAAAATCTCTGTGAGAACGATCTCTTTTGCCTGTTAATATTTGTGTAAAAATCTCTGTGAGAACGATCTCTTTTTCATTACTTTAAGATTGTTGGTGGGCAGTTTCAACACTCAATCTTCCTCAGGCTCTCCCTTCTTCCTCCAAAAGCTAATTAAGATCTTTTATGGGGGAAAAATCTTTCTTAATTAGCTAGAGCAACTGCACTGTTATTGGTATGCAATCCTAATAGCTAGAGTGATTGAACTGAGATTCATCCCGATAAGTTTTCAGAGGATCAGCTATCATCGATACACCATCTTCATAAACTTGAAAGAGGGCAGTCATAATGAATCTTTTGTTGATATATATTAAGCAAAGGGAACTATATATAAACCGTAGAAACCACCATGAATAACAGAAAAGACCAATTAACAGGAAGGAGAAAGAAAACAGGAAGTAACTGAAACAAAAGTGAGAAATCAACAAAATTTAAACATCCATATCAGAAAACAAGTACATATTAGAAAAATGGAAACCCCATGAAGCCCAGACCATTTAACGGAATCAAATAAAAGATTTGTTGCTATCAGAAAACAGACCAATTCCAATTTCTCGGTTTGTTTTTAACCCCTAACCACAAGTTGGAGGATTTTTATATACTTTTAAACACTATAACCCGGGCGAAAACTAACGAAAAATTTCAAAAAGAAAAAAAAAACAAAGAAGTCTTCACGTAAAAGAAAAAAAATTAAATAGCCCGCAATTAATGAACCAAACAAAAGGGGCAAAATATAGAAGAACCAAGTAGTCAAATTAAAGCTCTAAAGAAAACACAAAATCAAAGGCTAAAAAATCTCACCGCCATCTTCATCCTACGGAAGTGATGCTCTGAACCACCAGACCTCCACTAGAGCAAGCCGTATTATTGCTGACCTACAAAATCCAGGATTTTTGTAAAATATAAGTTGATTTGAGTTGCGTGTCTTGAACTCGAAGCTTTTACTTTATTTTAAAATAAATTGTGGAATTAGTGTTTAGTTATATATGGAAATTTGGTTTCCTGGTTTGGAAAACTTTTAGTTATCTGTTACGGTTATCCTTAATTAGAATTGTTGTTGGAGTTTGAATATGTATACATTTGAGATGTTTAGGTCAATTATTCGGTTTATGTTTTGTATGAGCAATCTGGAATTAGCTTTTTAACTGTTGATATCAGACTAATATACACATGTATTTTTTTTTCCCCCAGATAAAAGTATGGCTGGGGATGGATCAGATCAGGAAACCTGCAAAGATGACAAAGCACGGGGAAGATGATGAATAATACACTCCTCCTGCATGTCTATGGTATTTAATACTACCAGGATATTTAATACGCTCAGTAGCATGTTTCTTCCTTCGATCTCTTCTAAATACAAGCACTTAAGCTTCCAAAGACCAGCGCAACCGATTTGCAAAAAGAAGTGATCAATCGCAGTTTTGAGACCGATTTCCTTTATAACCGGTGAAGGTTTCTGATGACTTAACAAGTGCCATCTATTATAATTTGCAGCTGAGCGTGAGCTGTTGTTATTTGAATAACAAAGCTGCATGCATGCGACGAGGTGAGGGAAAAATTGAAGCACGCACGCACGCACGCACACCTCAGGAGGAGTAACAATATAATCACAACTGGATAGGATTCTTTTATTATAATGCAACGACTGATAAACAGACGACCTAATAACAACACAGTAGCAACATGGCTGACACAGACGAAGGAAACTGACGCAAACTCAACCACCAGACATAATTAAAACAGCAAGAGCAGACATGCAAATGCATACAGGAGCAGGACCGCTGGGTGCTGATGATACTTATATTTAATCAGTAGTAATATATGCATCATCATGCAAGTGCAGGCACAGATCTGGGCAATGAAGCTTAGTTGTCGTCACAGTTGACAGGGTCGCCGCCGCCGATGGCCGCCCACTGGGACAGGCCAGAAATGAGGCCTTCGCTGATGAGGGCGGGAATGGCCTCAAGAAAGACGGGCAACGGGACGGGTTGCCAGTCGGCTTTCAGGATGCTATGGCCGGCAAAGAGCTTAACTCTCGGATAACGTAAAGCTTTGAATTTCTCCACGAGCTCTTAGACAGAGGGAACGAGACTTGAGACAGAGTGGGTCTGGTAAATCACATAGTCAATGCCGTCGGCGCATGCCAGGTACAGGGGCCAGTAGTACAAGTCGTCCCGAGGAGGTGGCACATGAGTGACACCTCCAGGCTGGGGATATCATCCTGCAGCCTCTTAATCGTCTTCTGCCAGGCCTCCACAAACTGATTAGGATCTAGGCTGGCATCTATGTGTTGGTAGTAAACGTCGACGCCGTCGAAATGGTAGCTTCGGATGATCTCTTTGAGGGAGTCGACGGCTCTAGGAACCCACTCACCTGTGGGAAGATTGAAGGGATACTTCTCACTCCGCCCTCCAATGCTCAAGAAGAACTTGGCATGCTCCTTCGTCTGTTTGAATTTGAGGATATCATCGGGAGTGATGTCAGTAATATTGAAATAGGGATGGAATTCTCCGGGCGTGGGATTGCCGCGACTGTCGTAGTCTCTGGCGAAGGCCAAAGCGATGTGGCATGGAACGCTCTTGTACACACCAACCAGGGACTCAAACTCGCTGTAAGTGCTGGCGTAAAGCCGAAACGGGAGATTCACCACCACCATTTTGATTTGTTTACGGGTTCTTCTCGATCGGCTTTTGGCGTGACTTGGGGCTCAACTCCCTTCGCGGCTTTTGGTTTGAATTTTGTGCTCTCTCATAACTTCGTATTTATAGACACTGAATTGCTTCTAATTTGTCATTATTATGTCGTCATTTTGGTTTCATTTTTCCATCTCCATAAATTATATTCTATTAAGTTATTGATTATTGATATGCTTACGACCGTTTACTTGTATGATTTTATCATGAGTGGATGATCAAATGACTGATGATCTGCCACCTCAACCTGTTCCAATCACTGATAGTAACTTTATGTCTGCATGTTAATCTATCTGTGTGATAATCAAATAAAATATTATTTAAATGAAAATGGTTAAATGCATTTTAATTTGCAGGTTCTTCTTCTCTTATGTGATGCTGTCATATGGATAAACGTAACATTTTCTTTTTTGCATTATTTCCCCATTAGCTTCGCCCCGTTCTCGATAGTCCTAAACACTCCTTATCGTTTACGTAACTAGGGGTAGAAACAGGCTAGATCAGGCCAGGCCAGGCCTCGCCTGTTGTGGTAAGGCCTGTTGGCCTGAGCCTGGCCTGTAATCAGGTCTGGCCTGGCCTATGACCTGTTAAAAGGCCTTTTTTTTAACAAATTTCAAATACACATAAATCAATTCAAAATTACAATAATTCAACCTAATTTATTTAAAATACAAACAGAAAATATGAAATTATCAAATTAACACAATTTATTTTTGCTAATAACTAATAAATACAAATATGCATTAATTAGATCATAACAAAATTTAATAACTAATAAATACAAGAAATGGTATTATTTTTAGAATTCAAAATTTGTACATTTGGTTTCTTCTTCAAACCATACTTATTGCTTGAGAAAGGGCAAGACAGCTTGAGAAATGAAAAATAAATTAAAAAGCTAATATGAAAAACAAATTAAAAAATTGGTGCAGAAGGCAAAAGCTTGGGTAGTTAGAGACCCTTTTGGTCCTCAAGTAATTAATAAGTACAATTACTATATATCAATATATATATGCATAATTAATAGCACTTTGATCAATCATATATATCCCCCTACGTATTGATGCTCCTTGGACGCAACAGGCCTTTTTACAGGCCTAAGCCTATTCTGATATTTAAATAGGCCAGGCCATGGGCCCCTGACAGGCCGTCTGGCCTATTTTCACCCCTATACGTAACAAACAAATAATCAAATTATACCAAAGAAAGGGTTAAAGGTAGTAAATAAGTAGTTGAGGTGGGGAGAGTGACCAAGAACAATAAGAAGGAATCAATGGTATGTTAGACGAGATGAGATGTTACTTTTAAGGAACAATTAATCATCAAATTCCTACAGTTTCAACTCGTTTGCGTAAAACCGGATTCCTCAAATTTAACTTATCAAATTCAATCCATCAAGTTTCATTCATTTAATCTCTTAGTTATTATATGTTTAGAAATTTATTTACTCCCTCAAGAATTACGGTGCAAGCAGATCAAAATTTAAGAGTTACATAACCCATTCTTCCTAATTTTAATTATTTTTTCAATTTCCATGAATTACTCAAATATGACTTATAAATAAAAATAGGGAAAGTACATTGTTAAATTAATGAGTAAGAGAAGAAATCATCCCAAAGGACAAGAGGGAACATATACGTCCTAATCCCTAAACAGTGTATCTCTTCCCAATTTTTTATATTTTTCACACCCAAGCAAATCACGTCGGAATTGAGTTTGAGTGCTCATTCTTCAGGTAACAGGCATCAACTTTAGACCATCCAGATCAAAATTAGATTAGTCCAAATTTAATATAATTTTATTTTTATATTTTTAATAACTTAATATTTTTTTATATTAGTTGATTTAATAGTCATGATATTTTTATACCATTTTGAAATCCGTATGGCTTTACCTCCAAAAATTTTATAATTAGATTTTCATCTTAACCCTTGATGATATGGTTGGAAATTGGTAGAAAGTGGATGTAAAGGGGGATTGGAACGCTTCGATCCGAAGAAAAAGGCTTGAGATGTGCATTTTCGGCATAAAGATGGATGCCAGTAGGGTCCCTTCAGTCCAAGAAATTGCAACCCTTTTGAATATATTTGACCAGCCCAACTAATGATGGCCTCTAAAGCCCAACGGTATAGTTAGGAGGTCGAAACATAAAAGATGGCCCAACATTGACCATAAAAGCCTCTCCTTGAGTTTTATTCTTTTGAAGTTTGAAGAGGTGAATGACATACCACATGAAAAAAAAAAAATCTTTTAAAAGCAGTTTTTGAATTTTTCTTTCATAATATGAAATAAATATATGAAGAGAGCTTTGTCCTGCCTTACATGAACATGCTTATAAATACTTAAAAGAAACATGTATACATAAACCCTCGGTAATAATGAGTATATTGTGACCGACGCTTATTAGAAGAAAAGAAACAATATTTTAAGTTCAGTTCAAAGCTATGTGGGACTCTTTAATTGCGTTTCTCAATCAGTTATATTTTAATGTAGTTTTACCTCCCAAAAAAAAAAGCTTTATAATTAGATTTACACGTCAACTGTCGATAGTAAATTGGAAATCGGAAGAAAGTGGATGTAAAGAGAGATTGCAAAGGAAATGGCTTGAAACTGACGCATTCATCCCAAGAAAAGAGATTTAAGATGGGCTTTGTCATGATAAAAGGACGGGTGTCAGAATGGTTCCTTCAGAATCGTCCAAGAAATTGCAACCCTTTCCAATACATTAGACCGGTCCAAGCAATGATGGCATCTGAAGCACAGCAGTGCAATTTGAAAGCCGAAGCATAAAAGATGGCCCAACAATGTCCATAAAACTATCTCCCTGAGTTTTATTCCTTTTGAAATGGGGAATGATAATACGTAGTCCATGAAATTAGCAGGAGTAACTGCACCTTCCCACCAATAAGGGAGAGATTTTGATTCCCCGTCATTAGGCTTAGCGAGGAATCTCATATTTTGGAGATGTTTATATAAACACTTGAAGACATGATGTAGGTTTGTCTTGCCTAATATAGTATGACTCAAGAAGAGTTAGATCAAGCGCCCTATCTTTGATTTGAATTGAGTTTGAATCCTGCCTAAAATATCAGCAAAAAGGGGTAAATGATATTAGACACGAAACAACTTAGCAATAGTGAGTATTACAGTATAAACAAAGCTTATTTTTCTTCTTATTGGGCGAAAAGAAACAACATTTTTAAGTTTAGTTTAAAGCTATGCGCAATTTTATAACTGCATTTCTCAAGATCAATTCTATTTTAATCAAATTGTTTTTTAAAAAAATTCGTAACTTTCGGAGTGACAAAATAAATTGGACAGCTTGAACCATCTCATTTGTTGTATCATTGATTATACATGCAACTTGTACAAGTAGGTGCTGGATACTTTCCATTCAAAATAAAGCATTGATCTTTTCTGTTCTGTTTTTTTTTTTTTTGGGAGAATTGAGCATTTTAATATTCTCAAATGGGTTTTTCGAGGATAATTCCCACCATCTATATCAGAGAGTGATCTTGCAGTTGTTACTATGTCAATTTTGGGTTGTATTGGTTGCGTTTATCTTCATAATTTACTGTTGTAAGTAATTTTGTTATTCATTTTTTTTCCCTTATAAATACTGATAAAAGTATATCCAACATCTTAAACTATTTAGTGATACAATTTTACACTCCATGTATTAAAATTGGAGCAATTTCACCCCAAGTAAACATTCCCTTTAACTCCGTTAGATGCAATTGACCCTTGGCCCCCCCCCCCAATTAAGGACACTTGTTTTATAAAATGACACTTATATAGGGAAATTGACCGTTTTGATATTCCCGAATAGGTCCATGGAGCGTATATAATTCCCCTCATATATATCTGGAGAGATCTTGCAGTTGTTATATCAGGTTATGGTTCGTTTCTTTGTTCGATACTGCTGGGCGCAACGCAAGGATGATTTTATATTATTGTGTCATTTCTAGATTGTATTGGTTGCATTTGTTTTCATTTACTGCTGTAAATAACTTTGTTCTTCATTGTTTCCTTATATTAACAACAATAAAAAGCTTTCCCTCCATTGCTTAATTAATTTACGTATAGTATGTTTCAAGAGGTTTTTCTTTCTGAGCTGCCACCCATTCCTCTCCCTGCTGCCCGTGCTATATTTAATTTATTCTATCGAGCTCGTTTTCTAGCTGACCTGAAGGCAATTTGCAAGTTGAGAACAGAGATGGTTTTCTTAATTGAGACGGGTTCGTAACGAAAGGAAGAAATTAAGAAGCAAATATATTGAAGATTTAATTGAGTGCTCTTGAAATACAATAGAGATCAATAATCCGAGATCTCATTTTATAACTGAATTGACAAGCTCTTTTGCTTTGTCACTATTATTTTTATACCAATCTCCGTCAGATCATCTCTTCTCATTATTTTATTATTTCTCACGAAAGTTTTATCAATCAAACATACATTGCAACTAATTAAGACATTCTACGTAATTGGTCGGAATTGGGAAGAGGGAAAAAGGGTTGGCATGGAATAATATAATAATACAGTTGGAGGAAAAAGAACGCGCGCGCATATATATATATATAGCAGTCGATGATCCTAGTACGTAGGGCGGGGGCAAGAGTGATGATAGAAAGGAAAAATCAGATAGCTATCACAACTCCATATTAATCACAAGCAAAGCAACTTTTATTTTATTGACCAAACTCGTACATATATGGGTTTAAAACATAAAGATACCAAGATGCTAGCATTCTAGACGAACGCTGACACCTCGAAACACATATCGGACAAACCAAAGCAAACAGGAGCTCGACACGCACTACAAAAGAAAGACATATACGTAGGGCAGGAAATAGGGTGAAATCTTTGCCGCAGATCTCATGCAGCACTCAAGCCTCGGGTTTATAATCTTCGGGGGTCACGATCCACTTGGAAATCCCGAAGAGTCCCTTGCCGAGGAGCTGAGGAACGGCACCGAGGAAGATGGGCAGCGGGACAGTAGTCCAGTCGCCGGGGAGGACGTCACTGTGCCCAGCTAAGATCTTGTTTTTGGGATAACCATAAGTGGACACCAGCCTGTCGAAGACGCCTCCGAGCGCTTCAAAAGTGCAAATGGGAGAAGTCTCAGTGTGGGATTGGTACACCACATAGTCAAAAACTGCGTTGTTTATCTTATACAGGTCGTGATAGTTTTGGCTGAGTGGAGCTGGCACAGTGATGGAAGCAGTGGTGATGGTATGACCCCTCTTCAGACTCCCAATGACTTTCTGAATTGAGCTGGCAAACTGATGCTCCGCGTCAGGGTTGATGTGTTCGTAATAGACGTCGATTCCATCGATCTGGTAATTCTGGATGATTTCCCTGAGACTTTTGGTGGCGGCTTGGATCCAGGCGGTTTCTGCAGCAGAAGTGACGGCAAATGGGAATTTGGGGTTGCGGCCTCCGATGCTGAGGAAGAACTTGACTGAAGTGGACGTGGCTTTGTCCCTGATGTTCTGGATTGCTTGTGGAGTCAACTTGCTTGTATCGAAATAAGGATAGAAGGTTCCTGTTTGGTATTTTCCTCCACCGTCGTAATCTCTGGCGAAGGCCAGAACGATATGAATTTCTTTCTCTAGGACCGCAAATGGGAGTTTCTCAATGGAGCTCAGAGTGCTGGCGTAGACACGATAGGCCGACAATGGATTCGCCATTTTGAATCTCTCTCTCTCTCGGATTGATCGGCTTTTGGTGTGAGTTTGTGTGCTCTCATGGCTTCCTTATTTATAGACATGAGTTCGGAGAGGGAAACCCGAGTCGATTCGCCAGAGCAGGATAACATTGAGGGCAGTAGCATTTGTTTGTGGGGACATTGGTTACGTGGCAGGAAACGGTGTGGCTGGCGTTTTTCACGTTGGGGGTGACTATTATTAACAGCATATATTGAGACCTATGTTACTATCTGGATTGTTTCCATTCTACACACAGTCGAACACTCCCTGCTGTACCGCCTATGACATGCAGATAATAAAATTTTATAAATAAAAAAATGGTTAGAGACAGTAATTAAATAAGAACAAAATATAAAAACAAAATATCCTTCTTCTTTTTTATTTCTAAGTCCTCACATCAGCAATAAACAATAAAATTCAAACTCACAACTTTATGAGTTATGACTCAACTTTTGTACGTACTAATTAGATCAACTCTTATTAGCATTAAACATACTTCTTTATGAATATATATATTTATATATTGTTGATTAGTTTTGGTGGGGAGAGTGATTGAGAACAAGCAGAAAGAATTGAGCGCACGCTAGACGAGATGAGACATTACTTTTGAAAACTAATTAATCATCAAATTCCTTTATTTTCACACATAACTCGATCTCTAGCACTTAACTTATCTAATTCAATCCGTCAATTTCCGTCATCTAAGCTGTTGGTTTTCATATGTTTAGAAAATTATCTAGCCCTTCAAGAGCTAAGGTGTAACCAAATCAAAATTGAAGAGCTAAGTAATTAGTTTTGCCTTGTTCTGACTATTTTTTTAAAAAAATTTGGCGAATTACTCAAATATGAGTTGTTATAAATAAAAATCAGAAAAGTATATAATCAAATTCATGAGTAAGAAAAGAAATCATCCCAAGGGAAGATATGCATCCAATCCTAAATACATTCTTTCTTCCTTCCCAACTCCCATGTGGTTTTTGATTTTTTTTCTTTTCACACCCCGCAAAAATCACGCCTAGATTGAGTTTGATGAGCACTAAATTTGGATCATCGACATCAAAATTAGATGGTCCAAATTTTGTTTTTAGTAATTTAGTATGTTGATGCATATAGAAACATAAAAAATAAATATTATCTTTTAGTTTTTCTAAAAGTGATTTTTTTTATTTGGGAATGATTAGTTGAAAGTTCTAAATTGTACGTATTTGGATGGAGTGAATCGGGCTCCACTCTTTTGAATAATTGTGTATGGCAACGACAAAAAATGACTCTATATTTCAACCAGATAAGGTTCATGCTGATGAAAAGTCCGGTGAAGTTGAAGGCCCTTCACATAATTTGCTGGTCAAACTAAATAAAGAGACGTTTTTAACTTTTTTACATTGGTATTTAACTATGCCAAGAACGTCTTAAAAATACAAATGATCAAGTTGCCATAAATATCTGCATTGCGAAAATATATTAAAATATTTCAGATTTAATTTTAAAATATTAAGGTTTTTCTTAATTGGGTGAATAGCTTGTTTTAATTTTTGATTCTGTACAAATATTTTTACGTTCAAAAAAAATGTTATGGAATTCACTCTCATGTTTTGTACAAATGTTTTTAAGAATAATCTCTCTCTCTCTCTCTCTCAAAATAAGCATTATAGTTCTGATCCGAATGTGGATAAATATATAGGCTTAAGCCTGTAAGAGGAGCCTAAACTCTGCCATGGACTTTAAAAAAAGTTGTAAATAACTAAAAACACTTAATCACCTAGAGCTGTCAAAACGGATTGAACCTGTCGGGCTAGTCTATTTTAACTCATTTGAGTGACAAATCAAGCTTATATTTTAGAGTGTTCAAAAGGAAATCAGGCTTGAACAAACTATCTATTGATGAGTTAAAAATAAGAGGGTTAACCCTCTTTAAGTTTACCTTATTAAAACCTAATAAATTGTTAAAATAACCTACCACAATTATTCATTAATCACTATTCAATATGTGACTAATGTTGTGCAAGCCTCTCGATTGAAAAATAGAAAAATCTAGATATGTAACGCTTACTTTATCTAATATAAGGAGCGGCATTTTTAAAATCTTTAGTTGAGTTTTTATGTCTAGTCCGTAAAAAATCACTTTTTACAAAAGGTCCCCAACTTTCTACAGAACAAACGTAAAAAGTCCTAATTTTCAGTGCCCACCAACCAAAACTTGTGAAATTCGAAACCCGCCAAGCCATTGCTTTCCTCACTCCCCCTTTTGCTGTTCTAATTGCGTCATTTGAAGGATCTCCCCCAACTATATACCCTCTTGTTCCGCTCTTTATTGGATGCGTCTTCATTTGTTCCTCAAGAATCTAATCCCACTGCACGGATCTGCTCATGTAACTGTCTCCTTATTTGCCATACAGTTAACTATTTTAAAATGATTAATTAAATCATTAAGTGCCACCATAATAGAAAATGAAGAAAACAGTTCCAAAGGCCTACCTTATTACAAGACAGGATTTGACAAAAAACACTTGAATAACTATCATAGGAAAATATCAACCTTGTCATTGTAATCTACCATAGTTATAAAATATTTATTCGCAAGTCACATGCTTAATTAATACAGCATAATTTTAATATGTAGAATTGGGATCACAAAATCACAATTAAATAAGATTCTCGAATGGGCTAGGGCATTTGAAGCTCACAACACAATGGTTTCCAACCAATAGCTCACAAGCATAAGTCATTGTACCATTTGGTTATTCAAAATAGAGATAATTAATCTGTAAGTCCTTATAGTTTCAACTAATTTTGAGTTAGATCCTTATGGTTTTTTCTTTTTTATCAAGTCCTTATACTTTCACCTGTTTTTAATTAGGTCCTTGTATTTATTTTTCTTTTTATCAAGTCCTTATAAGTTCACCTTATTTTTAATTAAGCCCTTGAATTTTTTTATTCTTTATTTTATAAATGCTAATAATACTATTCTATTAACATAAAATAGTATATATTATATAATATTAGTTTATAAACAATAATATTTTAAAAATAATGAATTATTATGTTCTAAAAAAATTAAGTTATCAATATTTTATTTTATTATATAATTGTTAATTTAATTTCATTATCAACATTTTATATTTCAATATTAATCTATTTAATTAAGTTTATATTTAATTAATAAATAAAAATTAAAATTACATGGACCTGATTAAAAATTTAGTGAAATTATAAAGACTTGGTAAAAAGAAAAATAAATGTAAGAACCTAATTGAAAACAGGTAAAAGTAGAAGAACTTAGTAAAAAGAAAAAAACTATAAGGACCTGATTCAAAACTGGTTGAAATTATAAGAATTTACAGATTAATTAACCCTTAATTAAAAATAGCAATAATTTATTCATGAATGACAAGTTTTGGTCAGAAAATGACAAGTCTAAACTTGAGATTAATAGTGTGTGTTTTTGTCTGATACATAACATAAAATAACATGAACATTAATAAAAAAAACTATAATAAGTTATCTGGGAGTGACAAGTCTTCAATTCCAAAAATCAATTACTCCCAAAACCATGTTGAATACTACCTCCAGTCCTAATTATAATCTATAAACAAGATCTTATAATTAAGATCAGTGGTAGTATTTTGTTTTAATTCAACTAGCCTCTTTCAGAAAATAGAAAAACACAAGAATACAAACACTTTTTTTTTAATATTTCATTTGTGACGTAATGAATTCGAAAGATACTGAACACAAGCAGTATGTTATCGAATCAAACATCACTTAACTCAAAATGCGTAGATGCCTTTTAATTTGCAGGTTCTTCTCTTACGCGATGTCATGTAGACAAACATGGCACTCTTTACCCTTATTTTCCTTTTGAGTCTTTGCCGTAGTTTACATTTACATTTACATTTACACGTGAATACAATCCGCACTTGGACTTTGAAATTTCATTAAAATATTAATGATTTACTTGACAGTTTTATCCTTCAAAAATGGAGTAATAATTTTAAGATCTAAAGTATATATTTAAATTTAAAACACATAAATGAGTTTACGTTTCCAGTTATCTTTAATTTAGTATTTTTAATCCATGTAGTTATATGGTTTTAAAGTGATTTTACTGTTTAAAAGGGGAGGAAAGGGGTCAAACCCACAAATTTAAGCAAACTCATGATAAGAATAAAAACTCGAATCATAAATCCGTAAGAGTTTATTGGTTTACGTTTGTCAATAAATAGTTATTGTAAAAAGTACATGATTCGATGATTAAAATACAAAAAAAAAATTGATTTAAATATATTTTAAATTCAAATCATTGAATTTTTTCAAATGAAGAGCAACTATATTGTAAAGTAAAAAGAATATAACGTTCAAAATATACGTTCGCTCCTATGGTAAAAATGAAGAAATATAATGAGAAAGGGTCGAATCATTGAAATTAAATATATTAATATTCACAATTTATTAAACTCAACAAAGAAATTTCATCAAAGTTAAAAAGCCATATATACATATCTTTTGGATTTTACTTTTTTGCTTTTTAAGACCAAGTCCTCCTACACATTTTGTTAACGAATTCTATTCTTTTTTTGAGCTGAGTTAGCGAATTCGCTCAACTCACAAGTCGCTAATTTAACTGAGTTTACATCTAACACAAATCGTAATTTTATTATCCAAAAATGTATAAAAAGTAAGTTCGGGGAGTGAAACCCGAGTCGATTCGCCAGAGCCGGATAACATTGAGGTCAGTAGCATTTGTTTGTAGGGACATTGGTTACGTGGCAGGAAACGGTGTGGCTGGCGTTTTTCACGTTGGGGGTGACTATTATTAACAGCATATATTGAGACCTATGTTACTATCTAGATTGTTTCCATTCTACACACTGTTGAACACTCCCTCCTGTACCGCATATGATCGACATGCAGATAATAAAATTTTATAAATAAAAAAATGGTTAGAGACAGTAATTAAATAAGAACAAAATATAAAAACAAAA